GTGCTCAGCAGTTGTTTTCTTCTGCAGTTTTCCCTTCACATTTTGTTCCTCTGAACCAAGTAATAACCAAGACAAGGAGCACTGAATGTGTATTACAAACATGGGAAGTAGGGCCAGGGAGATGGCTCGGTAAAATAAGCAAGCGCTTCCCTGGCAAGCGCAAGGCTGAGTTCAATCCTCGGTTCTGCCAAACAAACACAAACAAACAAAAAAGATGTGAAGTAATTTTGCCAAAATTAAAATTTATTGCATATAATCAGTAGATACAGGATACTGAGAGATTATTTGCTGTTTGAAAAAAATGTCAAAATGAAAAACAAAATAGTTTTAAATATCTTTCCACTGCAGAGGTTCTCCAGGATCAGGGCGAGGCCTGAAATGGCTCCTCATTTTTCAGAGCAATCCTGTGGGCAGATTCATCTCTGCCTCTTTGTTTCTTTTGTAACCTAGTTATATTCAGCTTCAAGACAAGTCTTAGCTAGGAAGGCTAGGAAGCCCCAAGAGGTGGAGTTCATGACATGGAGTGGCTAGAACTTGGTAGCTGTAAGCGACCAAGCTAAGGTTAGAGGCGAGTGGAGCCTTCCCTGAAGGGACCAGGAGAGTGTGTGAAGCAGAAACAGATGGGGCCAACTTCAGGGTCAGGGCACATGTGCTTGGGCTGATACTGGAGGATGCTGGGAGGGAGCTGGGAGGGTAAGATTCCATCTCCAGGACCAGCATGCCCCACCCACACTGGGGGTCTAGGCCAAGTAGAGCATCTCCCTGAGATAATGCAGCAGCAGCGGGTAGATCAGATGGAAGCCCCTTTTTCAGTAGTTGCACAGCCCAAAAACTGGAGTTCCCAGTGATCGCGTGAAACACAGGCACTTGGTTAGTGAGGGGACCCGACCAATGGCTCTGGCTCCTGGAAGGCACAGCCAGGCGGGCTTGCAGGAAGAGCAGCCTTGACTAGGGCTGGCTGACTCGCACGGTCACGCTGGAGTTGGTCATGCGGGTTCCATAGTGGCCGGCCCAGAACAACGTGTCCTTGCCTGCGTGTTCAAAAGACACAAAACGGACGCCCACCTTGATGTTGGAGAAGACGTGGGTGACCTGTAGGTACAAGAAGGGGTCAGCCTTGTGGTGCCACTGTCCTGTGCTCCATAGCTGAGGGCGCTTCAGGCAGATGGCATTTTCCCAGGATGGCAGCCATCTCCTCTCCACTGCACATGTTCTAGCATCTCCTGCTGCCCCATTAAGAGCTGGGTCTAATTCCTTTCCTCTTGTGAGTGGGCGAGCTTATCACCACGAATGCGGTGGAAGTGAGTGGCTTTAGCCAAGTGACTTCCTAAGGAAGGTCAGAAAAGGCAGTGTAGCCTTTATGCCACCACACAAGCACACTGGCTGTCCTGAGGACGCCCTACTGTAAGAAAACCAAGTGGCCCAAGCACAGGGGTGCCCTGGAAGAGTTTTGAGATTAAAGAGAGGCAGTGATATTTTGCCAGCTGCCAGTGGCTACTCCCACAACTACCCTGCACTGCCACTCCAGCCCACATCTGAATGCAATTGTGTGAACACAAGAGATTCGAGCCAGATTGCCCAGCTGGGCTCTTTCCATCTACTGGGTCAGAAGACACCAGAGCCAACCACATAATTCCAGTTGATTCTTTTTTTCTAGTATTGTGGTTCAACCCAGAGATGTTCTAGCTGTGAGCCTCATTTCTCCCATCCTACCTACTCTACTTTTGTTTTCTTCTTTTTTTAAAATGTAGTTAGTACAAGGCCTACAGGGTCTCACTGTACAGATTGTACTCATAGTGATCCTCCTGTTTACAGCCTCCCAAGACCTGGAAGTAAAGGGGTCGCCACCATGCCCAGTCTCAGTAGCCCATCTCAGCATGCTCCAGGGGTAGGGATGGGATTGGTACCCCAGAAGGCATTTATTTTTCATTTTGAGACAAGGTCTCATTAAGTGGCCTCATAATTGTAATCTTCGTTTCTTAGCCATTTGAGTGGCCAGGAATACAGACATGAATCACCACACCTGGCTAAAGGTTATTAGCCTGAACTCCCTAAGTCTTGGGATGACTTGTGTCACAGCAAGGGCTAATCATCCCAGCCTGTCACATGACTCCCCTTCTCAGAGACTTACCTGAAAATACATGCTTTTCGGGTGTGCAATGGAGGAACGCGTGGCAGAGAATTCATCTAGGACAGTCTTGTTGGCATCTAGAAGTTGGACAAGGAGTTGGTACCAACCACCACAATCATGTCGGACTCCCCACCTGTGGGAAGAATGAAACCTTACAGGCTGCACTTGCCACCTTATCCCTTGAGTGTCTCCCTGTCCCCTCTCTCTTTATAAGAGATAAGGATCTCCCTGCATATGTAAAGTCAAGTCCTCATGTCATATCTGAACGGATTTTATTTGTTTGATACGGATGGCAAGACTGGGTAGCCTTCCAGGTGGACTGAGGGCAGGGCCCACCACAGCCATGTAGGTAGCCTGGGGGCAAAGGCAGCACACTACTCCTGAAAACCAAACGTGGGCCCTTGGGAGGGGGCTTTGACTCCAGGCCAGCTGACCTGGAGACTGAGATTAATCACACCAACAAATGATCCATCACACCCTATTTGATGTGGTCCCAATGAAAAGCCTTGCTCAGGGTTCAGGCGAGTGTACCTCGTTGGTGATACTGCATGCCTCTTGTCGCATTCATGCCAGGATGAGAACATTCTCTCCAGGAAGGGGTCCATGGGGACTCTGCTCTTGTCCCTCTCCTGCACACTGCTTGGGTGCTTCTATTCTTCGCTGATTTTTATTTTGTTTGACACAGGATGTCACTATGTAGCCCAGGTTGGTCTCCAACTCACAGTGATATTCCTGCCTCAGCCTCCCAAGAGTGCTGGGTTTACAGGCATGTGCCACCACACATGACATTCTTAGTTCAATTTAATTTGTACCTTGCCTTGCAATAGACTCTAAGTGTGTAACAGCTTTCTGAGAGTTCTTCTAGTGCAAATTTGTGTGCGGGAGTGGCTCTGGGAGTTCCGCCAACTTGCCATCCGTGTCAGAAGCGAGGCGGGTCTCGGAGACTGTGCTTCCTAACTCTAGACTTGGCTCTGAATGCTCACAGACACTGGCACGCAGCTTTCAACTTCAGACACTCAGGTTTCATGAGGATACAGCGTGGCCGGGGCATTAGAAGTTTGAAAGCTCCATGGGAGATATGCAGAAGAATTTAGGATTCTTATAAGCAAATGGCTACTTACTAGAAGAGCACAGATGTGTCCTGTGCACTGAAGATACTAGCAAAACTCAACAGTTTTATTGGGAATGCATGTCTTAGGGAGACTAGGGAAGGCTAAAGGTGCCATAACAGTGAATATGTTGTGGTCGAAAATTCAAATGGTCACTGGGCTTGCATTCCCCCTTTTACATGTGGGGATGATGCACCACAATGGGGGTCTTTTCTCTCATAATGCTAGAAAAAGGGATCTGAGAAAAAGATGGGAAGTATAGAATGATACATGAGATCTGTAGATTAATTTCAGAACAAGGAGCACACAGTTATAGAGGATCGTGGATCTGGCTCCCTTAAAATTGGGTCCCGTGCCCCTTAAGAGTCCTCATCTACCTCTGTTTAGGAGGATACACTCTGTGGTGAGAAAAACCCCATGAGGTGCTGCCAAGGTTTGCTCTGGCAGTGTGATCAGGGAAGTCACCTCCTCTCTTTGGACCCGTTTTCCATAAAGCTCTGAATAATTTGAGGGCTTAAACTTTCTCCTTTCACAAGCGATTAAGGTTCAAAAAAGATGAGTTCACTTATAAAGCCCTTGGTTTGCTTAAGGCTCTAAAAGTTCAGGTCTCAGGGTTCAACCTGGAAGGTTCTGGCTGCACAATCGGAGTCTATGTGCACTGTGTGTTTTGCCTCTAGGCAAAGGGCATTCAGAGACTGAGCTGCATTCAAGACCTCTGTCCTGGATCCAGCCTGCTGTCTGATCCCCCATATCCCTTGGGAAGGACGTCAGGGGTTTCAGGTAGGTCTCTGCTAAGTGCTAGGGCTGTGTCCCTGGTTAAGTCTCCCCACCCCCGTGACCCTGTAGGAGGAGCCCTAAGCTGGTTCATCCTCACAAAGCACGTGCGACATACAGTCATTATACTCACCAGTCTGAGACACAGATGTCAATCTTGCCACTGTCCAGCAGTTCTGGCCACAGGCCCTCAGCCTCCAGGTTCAGGATCTGCTTCTTTGAACACCAACTAGGAATGTGAGAGAAGGGTAATGAGAACAAGCAGATCTTTCTCAACAACAGACCTGGCCCTTGGGGAACAGGGGCTTTTACCCATATGAGGTGACAAAGCAGGTCTGAGAAGGCGCCCCAGGCACTGGTACCAAGTTGTTCTCCACAACCCAGCCATCCCCACCATGCAGTGCCCTCCACTTCCGGAGGCCTTCTGTCAAACAAAAGAGACTTGTGCTCAATGTTCAGTAACAAAAAAAGAATAAAAAAGGGCCAGGGAGATGGCTCAGTAGAATAAGCGCTTCTCTGGCAAGTGGAAGGTCCTGAGTTCAATCCCAGGTTCCGCAAGAAAAGGAACCATCCAGTAGCTCAGCCTGGGCTCCTGGTAAGTTGGCCCTTCCTACAGGCTCCACTGGCCAACCTCTCCAGCCCCCGATTGGCTCCACTCTCTAGGCTTGTTTTGACTCCGCCCCTTTAGCCACACCCCAGAAGGGCTGACTCCACTCTTTCCACCTTCTCCTTAGGAGACCTACAAACCCACCCCTCCCTCCGCTCCCCTTTGGTCCTTATGCACTATGGCTCCGCCCCTCAGGCTCGGGCGCCTAGTGAAAGCTTTCCTCCCGCTGGTCTCAGCTGTCCCTACCCCTGCACATCTTCCCTGGGTCCGGGACCTCCGACCCGGATCCGGCCTCCTGACCTTGTCCACAGGGGTTGCGGATGAGGTTTCGTCCAATGGGTCTGAGCGAGCAGAAGCGAAC